GCCTGAGGTGGTTGCATGTGCCCAACTGCCTTTGGCCTGTGTTTGGCCCAGTACCCGTATCCAGCCCAGGGCCTGCTTCACATACATTCACACAGGCGGCCCAGGGCCTGGGTTCACTCAACTAACTAGCGCTGCGCAACTGCCTGAATTTCCCTGAGTTGCGTGGGAAAAAGGGCCCTGAGGGCCTCGTCGAGCCTGCCTTCACTTAGGGCGGCCGACGGGCTGCAAAATGGGGCCTTATGGGGCTCATAGAGGCAGTGGCCTCGCAGCTGGATCCGCCCTAGTAGCTCTCCATACGAAGCGCCAGTTCTCTTCGTACGGAAGAAGAACAAAGATCTACGATTGTGCATCGACTACCACAAGCTCAACGCTCAAACCGTCAAGAATGCGGGGCCTCTTCCTCGCATCGACGATCTTCTTGAGCGATTGGGCGGCCCAAAGTATTTTTCTAAGTTGGATTTGAAGTCGGGATATCATCAAATCTCGATCCGGCCGAATGATCGTTACAAATCCGCGTTCAAGACGCGGTATGGGCATTTTGAGTAGGTGGTCATGCCTTTTGGCCTCACCAACGCCCCAGCAACCTTTCAAGCGGCAATGACCAACGAGTTCCGTGCAATGTTGGACCGGTTCGTGCTGGTCTACTTAGACGATATTCTCGTTTATAGCCGGTCATGGGAGGATCATCTTGAGCACGTTCCACGATGCTCCCGCCACCGGACACTTTGAAGTCAATCGCACGATTGGCCGACTTCGTGAGCGATTTTGGTGGCCCCGACCTTCTAGGCAACGTCACACGCTATTGTGAGGCATGCGAGGGTTGCCGACACTGCAAATCCCGCAACCATCGTCCATACAGCGAGTTGCGACCATTACCGGTCCCCTTGCGGCGAAGGGAAGCAATTGCCATGGACATTACCGGCCCGTTCCCCGAGCACAAGACTGGCGTGGATGGGATTCTCACGGTGGTCGACCGACTCACCAAGTTTGCCATGTTTTTGCCTTGCCGCTATCATGCCAAGGCACCGGAGTTGGCCGAGGTTCTTTACGCCGGTTGGATTCCCACCAAGGGTTACCCCAAGGAAATCGTCTGCGACCGCGACACTCGGTTCATGTCCGATTTTTGGTTGGCGCTCATCAAACGATGGGGCTCATCTCTCAAGCCAAGGCTCGCCACCCCCAAACCGATGGGGCTCCGTCGCACTCTCATCCGCCCCGACCAGAAGGATTGGGTTGAGCGGCTGCCGGATGCCGAGTTGGCCTACAACTCGTCCATCCACCCGGCTATCGGGATGTCGCCCTTCGAGTTCGAGCACGGCTCGCTGGTCACTTCGCCGTTGGACACAATCATTCCACGAGCGGCCGAGAGCGACGACCATCTTCTTTTCTTGCGTCGGATGCAAGAGCTACTTGTCAAGGCACGCGACCAGATGGTGAAGACGCAGCAACGCATGAGCCAACAGGCCAATCACCAGCGTCTTCCTTGCCCATTCCGCGTCGACGATCTTGTTTGGGTTTCCGCCACGGAATTCAGCCTTGAACAAGATATCTCTCACAAGCTCCTCCCGAAATGGATGGGGCCCTGGCCGATCATGGCACCCGCTGGGGATGCACCCGAGGGACCTTGCTTCACTATTCAGGTGCCCGCCCACTTGCCCGGAACATGACGATTTTCCCGGGCGACGTTCGCAAGACCCACCCTCTATGGACGGTTTTCAGGAGGTCGGCGACATCATCTCCCAGCGACGCTACGGCAACAGGCCAACCGAGTACATGGTCCATTTTGCATACTGCATACACCGAGCTGACCGTTGGTTAACCCATGCAGAACATCAAGCAACAGCTCCAGACGTTCTTGCACACTACGAACGCAAGATGCATGCCAAGCCGGTCTCTTCGGCTCCATGCCACACCCGCGTCCAGGTTCCACCTTCAGATCGTCAGCTTCGCCCTCGCCCCGGCTTGACTTCCTAAGGAGGGGGGTGTGTTACATGCTGCGCCTGCACATGAGGGCCATTTTCCAGGCCCTGCGTCCCTCAAGCCGAAAGCCTGAAAAACAGGGCCTACAGGCCCCGTGTCTGTTCAGCTCGAAAGCCTGAAAAACAGGGGCCTACAGACCCTGTGTCGTTTCAGACTGAAATGGCAGTAGCCTTTTTAGCCTGAAACGAAGGGCCATTTTCGGTCCTTCATCAGACCGACCTGCCCTAAAACTCAGGCACCAAACCAGGGTTTTAGGAACAGGCTATTTTTGGCCTGTTCCCACAACAGCTGCAGCGCCAGACCCTGGCTCAGTTTGGCATTGGCAAGAGCAGCCTCCTGGACTGCCCGTCCTGCAACTGCAGGCAGTCGGAGGCAGTCAGGAGGCAGGCCGAGGTAGTACATAGGGACTTCCCATGCACTTCACGGGCAGGCAGGAGCCAGGCAGTAGTCTTCAGGATTCGGCAGCAGCACTGTGGAGGAGCGCTGCAGGAGTAGAAGGAGCGCTAGCAGTAGTCTTCAGCGCTGGGCGCCATAGGAGCTAGAGTAGTGCTAGAGAGAGAGAGGTTGGGCAGAGGCTAGGGATACTTACCTGCAGCGCCATTGCTCCAGATTCGTCTACGAGGTACCTGCAGCACAGCGCCATCTTCGCAGGTTAGTTCCCGGCACATGAGAGAGAGAGTTCTTCTTCTTCCTCTTCTCAGTCCACAATCTCCTTCCCACCCTCTCGTTATCTGACTTCACTGCATCAGCAGACTAAGAGAGAGAGAGAGAGAGAGAGAGAGAGAGAGAGAGAGAGAGAGAGAGAGAGAGAG